GTTGTGTTTCGCGAACTCAGCAGGGTGAGGGTCTTCCCCTGACTCCTTGATCTAAATCTAAGTAAGGCCCCCAGGGACAGCAGCATATGTCCCAGGGAGTAGACACCCTAGAAAGAGAAACCTCAGCCTGTCCCTAGGTCTGGTCAGTGACTTGAGGCAGGCCCGTTGCCATCTGCGCAGGGAGCAGACCTGCGTCTGTCTGGAGGTCCCTAGAGAAGCAGTGGTCAGCAGCCGTGCTGGAGCACGGTCTGAGCTGGGGCTGCCCAGGCTGTTCACGGGCCACTTCCTTGTGTTCTCTCCTCCGGTCACTGCCCCCATCTGGCCCTCATGGAAGGAGAGCTCAGAGCAGTTGGGGGATGCCACAGGCGTGGGTCCTGTCCCCCACTGGAGCCGAGAAGGAGGGTCGTGCGGTGCTCTAGTGACATGGACGGCTTGTCACTGGAATGTTCTCTAGGGCTGTCTCTCACGCCCCCCCCGCCCCCCAGAAAGGTGCCGTGTGGCTGGGGGCTCCCCACTTCCTTCTGTGAGCACTTGTTTGCTCTCGAAAACCTCAGTGTAAGGAAGAGGCTTGAGCTTTCGCTCCGCAACCGCCACCCCAGTTCTCTGCACACAGTGGGTGCTCAATAGATGTTCTTGGGTTTGTAGACAAGGGGGAGATTTGGGAGCTACACCTGGGGACACACATGGGGTGGATTAGAAAGATCTCAGGAAAATGAGGTTCTCTTCCCTCAGGTAGTAGCGATATTCACGCCCCTGTCTCCCCGACACGGGCCCTGGTTGTTCCCCCGCCCCCCATAGCTGATCTCCACCTTCTCTGCTGCCCGATTAAGTCAGGGGACAGCTTGCCATTTACGTGTGCTACTCCAAAGGCCCCGGGTCTCAAGGCCAGGTCCCAGAAAAGGAAAGGCGAAAACAAACCCCCCACACAAAGTCACCCTTGAAGCCAATCCCATGCTCCACAGCCGGTCCTGTGGCTTGTCCAGCTTTTCTCCCTCACAGCCGGAGACGGAAGGCTCTACAGGGAAGATGCCACCACCATCGTGGCGACCTGAGCCTTCCAAACAGGAGATCTGCCCTCCCGGAGCCATTCCGGGGAGAGCCCCAGGCCGTTGCTTTCTTGTTGTTTGTGTTTTCCATCACCACCTCCCCTCGATCCCATAAAACTGTACTGTGAACTGGAAGATGGTTGGATTTTTAAAATTCGATAAGAGACTTTGGCACCCGGTCCTATTTACTATTTTCACTCCCGGCTCTGTTCAGGGAACCGGGCATCGCCAGTCCGGTAAGGCCGAGGCCTCGGAGCAAGACCGGCATTGAGGTGCCCCCTCTTCCCTCCTGTGCCCATGTGCTGCTTTGAGGTGACAAAAATAAATATGGACTTAAGGAAGGAGGGACTTTATGCAAAAGGATTATAATCTGCAAGACTGGGACAGGGAACACTGCAGTAGGGGAAGGGGCTGTGGCAACAGGGAGCATGCTCAGACAGCTGCTGCTGCCAGCGTCCCACGGTCAGAACGCGGGGGCCTTTTCTTTTGTAGGAAGAAGTGAACCTGGCTAGAAAGAAGCGCGCTCAGGGACCGCCTTTGTGCTCATCCTTTTTGGGCAGGGGATGTATGTTGGCTCAGGCCGAGGGTGGGTCCCAGTTCAGGTTCAGAGTCTGATGGAAAAAAAAAAAGAGGCATGTTGGATGGAGTTAACCAGACCTTTGTTCAGATGGAGATGGATATAAATTTTTTTGAAAGCTAATTTAGCCTGCCAATTTTATAACCCTGGAAATGTTTTTTTCCTCAGAGCCTGGAAGTCATCTCTGATATGTAAACCTCAGGGGACCTCAAGGGGAGATAGCGTCTGGCTCCCTGTCTCAGTGGGAGATTTAACCCAGGCTCCAGGCTCCCAGTCATAACTACCTGCTCGCCCTGGGTTCTTTTTAGCCTTCTTTCCTTCTCCCTATAAAAGAAAAGCTCCTTTCTGCCCCAGCTCTGAGATGCTTGCAGACCTTAAAGCATTGCAGTAGCCCCTTCTCCCTAAATGCACTGGTCCCTTGCCATCTCTTGCAATAATCCTTTTGAATTAAAGCCTCCCTTTACTTAAGCCCAAATTTGTTATTTGGCAGAGGGGATGCGAGACTTACCTATTTAAAATTGGGCATCAGTTCTAAAGTCAGCGATTATGTTAAATGCGTGTGTAACAGCTCTGCTGGACACCCGTGACAGCCAAGGGGGTGCCGACTGGAAAGGTGCTAAGAGGGGTTCTGCAGAATCCACGCCAAGCGCCCCTGAAGTTACCCTTCCCCGCATCTTCTCACACCATCCGCTGTGTGTATGTATGTGTCTGGGATCCAGGGCAATGTGAATTTTCTTTTATTTGGGAGATTTTTCATTGAAAACAGATCCTCTTCTTTCTCGTCCACCTATTAATTGTTTACAATATTGTACATCTATGCAAAATACTTGAATGGGCAATAGTGCCTTTTTTCCTTATTTGTATTTAATTAAAATAAATTGTAATTTGAAATGTCCAGTTTGGCAACACTTGTTTGTTTTAACCTCCTATTGCTCAGCCTGGAGAGGATCTGTCACACGAGGACTCTTTGAAGAAGCGTGTCCACAATGACTATCAGTAGGCCATAGTGGAAGACCTTGAGCTATATAGACAGAAGCCTGAGTTTCCCCAGGACCAGTCAAAGGGGCTGTTTGTCTTTGCATTTGGACATGGGCTGGTCTTGTTGATCCTGGGATTCCCTGATACGTGTTTAGGAGACAGATGAGACTCTCTGTCTCCGCCTCACCTTGCTGCTAGTGATCACGCACTTCAGAGAGGGGAGGACTTGCCCCAGGTCTGTGGGGCTCGGTGGGCAGGTGCAGAGGCGGGACTGGGGGTGGGTGTGCTGTTCTACTCCAGAGCCCTATGTGATAACCGCTCACATCCATTACTGCGTCCCAGTCCGAGAAAAGGGTCCCGCCCTCATTCTCTCATCTGATCCCCACTTCAGTTTTGAGGATCTCTAAGAGAGATGGAATCTTAAGAACCATGATAGCAGGTAACATTTACTGAGTCCTTAACACGTGCTAGACACTGAGCGCTGCTTAATCTTCCCAAAAGCCCTGGGAGGGCTCCGTGATGTCTGACTATACGTTTCCAACTTCACAGTGATGAGTCTGTCTAAGGGCATCAAAGGCATCAAACACAAATGCCCTGACTACTAAAATGCCTGCTTATGAAATCAGCCCCGACCCAAACACCCCTGTCAGCCTAACACTGTCATCTAATCCAGCTACATTGGATCCATCTTTTGGCCAGTCTCTGGGTTGATGGTCACAGATCGGTCAGTAGCATAAGACACAGAGCCTGGTTGGACAGACCTGAGTTCAAATCTGGCTCTGCGGCTTACTAGATGTGTGAAAAAGAGTAAGTTCCAGACCTCTGAGTCTCCTTTTACCATACAAGTGGGACCGATACCTACCTCACAGGTGTCATGATCATTATTAGTGAAGGGTTCTGTGTGAAAGTGCCCAGCTGTGTCTGCAGGGGCTAGGCACTCAGAAACTGCTGACTGCATCACTTTTAGAGTTGCTATGCGTAACATGCTGGGGTTCTATTAGGATCTGTCCTGGGTTGAGAGCTGGCCCCCATGAGAGTTTGGGCAAAGAAAGACTAGTGGAAATGGCGTTGTCCTTCATTCACTAAATGTTTTTATTCGTGCCAACTATGTGCTCAGGATACCCGTCAGGGCCTTCATGGGCGCCCTGTACTATGAGGAACAGAACTAAGCCAGCTCTCATGGGGGAACAGCACAGATGACAAGAACAAATGAACAGGGTAATTAATATCAGACTAAGCAATTGGGGACAAATTTAGTCTTTGGAGAGATACTGCATGGTGGTTAAGACTGTAGGCTCAGAGCCAGACAGCAACTTCAACTCTTCCTGCGTGATTACTAAACTTCCCCGAGACCCTTTCCTCATATATCAAATGGAGATATATCTGCCTTGGGGATTTCTGAGGACTTAAAGAGAGAATTCACGTGAAACTCTTAGCACTGTGCCAGGCTTCTACTGAGGGCTCAGCCATTAACAAGGGGTGAGCATCTTCTATGGACTTTGTTCTCAAAACGGCCTTTCCTACTCTAGCGAGGGCTGTGAAAACCACTGTAGGGACTTCCTTGGAAGCCACAACCCTCCAGAGATTGGGGACTGGCTTCCCACACTAGAGGAGCCAGTATAATTGTTCCGGGTCCAAGGAAGGCTAAGACGCAAGTATAAAGTAAACACACTTGAAGGTCTTTATTCTCCACCCTGCAGATCACTGCCATCCTCAAGATCCAACATGTTGCATTGATTTTAGTTACAGACAGATCCACATTCATTAAAAAATAAAGATTTGAGGCTGGAGATGCAGGACACCAGCCTGTTGGTCAGCTGAGCCTTTGGCACTCCAAGGCCAGCAGGAGTTTGGCCCGGGCTTGGCTGCGCTTAGGGCATAGGATGTAAACACAGGGCGCAGGTATGGGGTTACACTGCGAGGCACTGCACCAGCTTGGGGGCTGAGTTTCAGGTCTCTCTACAGAGACACTGGCTCCCTACTTCCCTTTCATCGGTCCTATACCAACTCCCACTCTCCGTCAGCCAGAAAGAAGGCAGGGAGGGAAGGGTTTCAATTTTATCTCTTTCCAGCTGCTCTTGCTTTTTGAATACCACTGGCCAGATGTGAGGGGACCAAAGGCAGTCCCCAAAGCAGGTGGTGTTGGAAGCATGATGACACGCTGCTTCCCAGGGTGGGCAGTGCATCAGTGGAGCTGGGGACTAAATGGCGATCTGGTCAACAGACAGAATGCACCCCTGCCAAGCCTACACCCCACTTGGTCACTGAAGTTCAAAACTGGGCCCACTGGCCAAACCTCTGAGGCTGGAGCCCAGAAATGACCCAGAGCCCTCTCTACCGGGGGTCTTGGTTAGGCACCAGGGTAAACACAAAAGTTAGCCCGTTTCCAGAGAGAGTGTGGCTGCTACCTGCCAAATTCTGACTTTTCTTGTAACTCTCCCCACCTCCCCGAATCATACTTTGGTTTACTCCTTGAGGAAAGGAAAGTCCATTCTTCCAAGTTCTAGCTTGACAGGGAGCTTTTAAGAGCAGTGCGACTGCTAGTCTCTTTCCATCCTGAGGCAAAATGAAACACTGCGTTGAGCCGGCAGAGCTTAGCCGCAGAGCATCTTCTGTTGTGGTTGTTGTCACCTTGTTTTGAGTTCTGAGATAATCGCCTGAATGTCTCAGTGACTGGTTCCTTAGGATGTATGTAGAGAGGGCAGGGGCGGGTGTGGGCATGGAGTGACCAGGAACAGATGCTGACCTCTGGGCGGGGGTGCTCGGGGAAAGGGGCTGGCCGAAATGTTTTCCTGAGACATCAGGTGGCTTTCACAGTAAGAAGGTCAGCTGAGGTCCTGCTTCTGTCTCCGAGGAGCTCGTGGCAAAACCAGCAAGATGTTTTTTCACTAGTCACGTCTCTGTGGCCTCTGGATGGCGAGGCATGGCGAACGGCTCTCCGGGCCTCAGGGAGCCAGCTTCGCTTCATCCTTGGGCTAAGGAACGAGTGCTAAGAATTTCCTGACGACTAACATCCAGGGAAGTTCTGAGACTGTGCTACATTCAACGGTCAAACTCTGTCTTCTTCCCAACAACACAGAGACAGCACCGAGGAAACGAGTGGGAAAGGAGGTCCAGGGGACCTGTGTGAGTAGGGTATTTGGTCACCGAGGCTGTGTTTCCAGGAAGTCCTGCCACCACCACTCCCTAGGGAGGGATTTTTCTCCTGGAAACTGCAATGAGGTATAAATGAATGTCTCAGAAAAGAGAGCCTGTTGATAACAGTTGTGCTCAAATAACCAGGGGACTCTGAAATCGAGAAGCCAGGCTGTACCCCAGGCCCCATCCTCTAACTCACTTATTCCAAGCTTTATGAATGGGTTATAAATACTTTGGGCTTTTCTTCTGGCGATGGGGTCCTGGAGAGTTCTATATTGTCCACAAGGACATTCTTGTCTTCTAGTCTAATGACAGTGGGCTCTGGGGCAGGGGTGGGGGGTGGGTTTTTGTGCATGTGGGGCAAACTGGTATGGCTGATGTTCAGGTCTTTGAAAGCATGGAGCATGAACACACCCAGGATGATCGTGACGAAGCCAGAGAGGGTGCCCACAACATCCACAGTGGACATGCTGTACCACTCCTTGAAGAGGATGATGGAGGAGGTGACCACGATCGTGGTGAAGAACACGTAGTAGATGGGGAACACCAGGGAGGTATTGAAAATGTCCAGCGCCCTGTTGAGGAAGTTGACCTGAGTGCTGAGCGAAAGCGCCAGGATGAGGGACAGGATGTAGGGGAGGGGGTGCCGCACGACCGGCATCCCCTGGAAGAAGTTCTTAATGGTGATGCCCAGGCCCTTGACAGCAGACACGGAGAAGGCGCCGATCACAGAGCAGATGACGATGTAGACGAGGATATTCCTCTGTCCGTAACGCGGGGCGATGACGAAGATGAGGATGAGGCAGAACACCAGCAGAAGCACGGCAAACACGATGTACCCTTCAGGAGAGGAGGGACACAGGTGAACCCAAAGGCCACAGTTTCCTCATTTGTAAGATGGGGCTAATAATAAGACCCTCCTCACGGAGCTTTCTTTGTAAGATTAAATGAGGTAGTGCGTGCTGTAAGACTAAACACGTCCCCCCAAAATTCACATGCTTAAACCTAATCCCCAATGGGATGGTGTCGGGAGAGGCCTTTGGGAGGTGATTAGGAATGAGAGTAGAGCCCTCATGAATGGGACTAATACATTAATAAAAGGGACCCCAGAGAGCTCCATCGCCCCCTCCACCATGCGGGACACAGAAGATGGCTCTCTGTGAAGCAAGAAGCAGGCCCTTCCCAGACACAGAATCTGCTGGCACCTTGATCATGGGCTTCCCAGCCTCGAGAACTCAGAGAAATAAATGTCTGTTGTTTATACCCAGTCTACGATATTCTGTTACAGCAGCCCGAACTGACTAAGACAGTGCATATAAAGCATTTAGAACAGTGCCTGGCACATAATAAAAGCTCACTAAGTGGCATCGGTATATATCAGGCGGGAAGCCTGTAAACCGGTCTCGGAACCAGCCCCTTTTTCCTTAGCCTGTCTTCTCCTCCAGGTGGCAGCACCTGAGATGCTCCAAACCCATCGCATGCTTCATCCCCCAGTGCTTTCCTGCTCACCCGGGGCTTGGAGCCTACCTGTGTCTTTCATCTTGGCAGCCATCTCAACGACAGTGGTGACCTTCTCTTCCTCGGGGGCGTGTATCACCATCACTGTGCTGCCAGTCACACAGATGACACAGCCCAGCTTTCCCAGCAGGTTCAGACTCTCTCCCAGGAAATAGGAGGAAAGGATGGCGCTGCAAGGGGAAATGGGAGACGAAACGCAGGCTGAGCAAATGCTCACGGACAGCCACAGGTCAAGACTCACCACTCGCTCCCGTGGAAGCTTTCCTGGACCTTCCAAAACAGTTTGAAATAGAAATCTACATACGGGAGGGTTCCAGTGTGCGCTGGAGGAACTGGTGACATACATACATGTGAATTTCTTTCATTTTAGAGACTAAAATATCCCCAAACAGGAGAGTTGGAAGAGCCCTTCAAAGCACTCTTGTCTAACTTCCTACCCAATGAGGGCATTTGCTCCTAACGTTGCAAACAGAAGGCTTTCAGCCTCGGCTTGTATACCTCTGGTGGCAAGCAGCTCACCCCTTCACGAGGCAAATTAATACATTATAGGTGCATTCTAATTATTCACCAAAAATATGATAATTTCTACTCACTCTCCCATTTCTATTCTTGAGCCATACAGAACAAATCTATTCCTTTTTTCACTTGCATATGCCAATACAAACAGCCACAGTGACAATTATAGGCACTGTGTCTAGGGGATACATTACGTACAAAGTATTACAATGGGAACTTTCCACATATTATCTGGCTACCATCTCACAACTCTTTGAGAAGTAAGATATACTATTTCCATTTTATAGATGAGAAGACTGAGTCTCACGGGAGTTAAAATAACTCAGCAAGATCACATGACTGGTTAGTCACAGAGCCAGGATTTGGGTCCTATTCTGTCTCATTATAAAGCCTGTGGTTTTCCCTCTACCCTCACTGCAGAGATTCCTGTGACTTCTCCTGAGTCTCCTCTTTTCTGGGAAAAAATACCTCCGGTTCCCTCCTGTCCCTTGGTGATGTGATTTTCATTCCTCTCACATCTAGACAAACCAGCAGAGATGAGGGAAGAAGGGAGGGAAATTGAGCAAGACAGGTATGACTGCTGGGGCACACCTCTGGTTCCTTACTAAAGTGGTATTAGTTTAGGGTAAAAATCTGTTGGCTGACCTAGGACCCAATGAGCCTCGAAAGTCCTCGTCAGAGGTATAAGAGAGGAGACTGTTGTCCAAGCTCCTCTGGATGTCCCCCGTCTCTCCGCTAAAACTACTCAAAACATTTTACCCCACAAGGCCCGTTCGAGAGAGTCTGGTGGCATTAGCTTAGGCAGAGGTCACACCCTGGAGGATTCTCACCTCTCCCAATTTCCCATGGGTGGGAATTTGTAAACTAATCAGCGATACAATAATGGCATCACCGCTGCATCAGCGAACTGTCATGTGAGTCACGGCTCTGTTTGTTTGTTTGTTTGTTTTTCGTCTGCATAAATGTTGCAAAATTGTCATCAAGATGGTAAAACGAAACAGAGGAAATTAAGGGTACTGAGTATGGCTGGCTGGAGCCATTTAGAGCCAGCTTCAAATGGGGCTTCAGGACCCCCATAGAGGAGCTATGTTTGTAGCTGGGGAGGAATGGGGCAAGGGAAAACACGCATTTAGTATCGGCTATTTTTAAAACCATCAAACGTTCATGAGGCAACAGGGCATAGTGGTTAAGGAACTGGACTACGACATCAGAATGCCTGGGTGAGAATCCTGGCCTCACCTCTTGGGACCTGGGCAACATTGGCCAAGCTGCTTAACCTCTCTCAGCCTCACGTCTCCCCTACTTTCTAGTCTGTAGGGGTGCGGCCAGGACTAAGTGAGGTAACACGGAATACATTTAGGACTTTAGCACACAGGAAGCCCTCCGGATGCTAGCCACGGCTATTCTTCAGTGCCAGTGCTGACTGCGCTCCTCCGGGCATTCTCTCATGTAGCCCTTGCAGCAATGCCTTTGGGTAGGCGTCATTAGCACCCCCATTTAGCAGACGGGCAAACTGCCGCTTAACGTGGTGAAGTGACTTGCACATGGTAACAGCAATGCCTTTGGGTAGGCGTCATTAGCACCCCCACTTAGCAGACGGGCAAACTGCCGCTTAAGGTGGTGAAGTGACTTGCACATGGTAACGACTAAGTGGCAGAGCTAAGGTGAGGAGGACTTGGAGTGTTAATTTAGGACTCGAGCTTTTAACTTGTACATTTCTCCTACTGAGGCACTAAAACCCTGACATAAGACATTAGTCCTGGTGACAGTGGAAGCCCTTCCAACCGGCTCAGCCTGCCCCTCCATTGCATGGTCAGCTGAGGGGATGGATGTTAGAGCAACCGGCAACAAACAATCCAAGGAGCCAGAGCTCTGAACAGCACACTACCTCTTTCTGGGAGCTGGGACCAACCCGGGTCCCTGATTGCAAGTGGTGGTTGATCCCACTTGGAAGTTCCAGACCTCAACAAACTAAAACTAGGAAAGAGCCAGATACAGCAAAAGAGGTGACAATAACCTTATGAGGACACTCAGAGCTCCCAGAGGTGTGATGACTGTCGCAGGAGCAAATGCGTAGGCCCCAAAGTTGGCAATTTCTCCAGCAGCCACTAGAAAATTAAGAGAGAAAAGAGATTAGTGTGACTCTGATGCCCCATCTCTAGCCCAAGTGAATCTGGGTAGAGATGGCTTTACTCAGTGTTCGACCATTCACAGAATCCCAGACCAGCATTCCTTTAAATCTTGATCCTTATGCTCTCTCCCTGGAGAATCTGATCAGAAGGTCAGGCCCAGTCCATCCTAATCAAATCCTCCCATTTTAAAGATGGGGAAGCTAGGCCAATAGTTCATGGTCACATGGCATGGCTGTGAGTAGATACCATGTTGTTCTAGAAGTCTCCTGGCTTCTAGTCCAGGCATAGTTAAGTATGTCTCAGAGACTGTCGATATTTGGTCTGTATCTTTAAGGTTAAGCTCTAGAAAATATTAATTTTCAAATAAAGAAATGGTTACAGTTATCGATTCTCCATGTACCAATTGGTCCATAGAGTTATTTTATCCATCAGAACTATGGATAATCTAGACTGACAGGCAGGTGGTTAGAGAGTCAGACATTCTCAAAGGGCCTAATTTCTCTCCATTTGAGTTTCCAGTTTGCAGATTCCTGCAAGTGCATTTTCTGTCTCTGCTGGTGGAGAATGATCTAGGTCTGCCTTTTGAAAGCAGGTGATGAATAGGATAGCTCTGGCTAAGACTGGAATCAAAACCTGACTTGAGGGATTATAAATGGAAAGCCGGCTCATTTTCCATCCAAAAGAATTCACGTTTGAAAGCCAGAGAGGATACGTAGAAAGTGGGAGGAAATGTGCGAATGTGCAAACTTGAGCAAACCTTAAGTGGCAAACCAGCCATGTTCTAAGTGAGTCAACGAATTGCCTGTGGAATGGGGAAATTGGCTTCTACTATACAGAAATCCAAGAGACTCCAACGGGCAGTGCTATCTCCCCATATTTCAGGGGAAGTTGAGAAATTCCACCTTTATTATTACCAGCTCTGTATAAACCTCTCTGGGATAGATGCTTCATGAATGAAAGACTGACTTTGGGTAGAGAAAGTGATTTGAGATACAGGTAAAATGTTCTACCAGCAAAGACTGTCAAAGTTTTCCTCTTAGGAATCTGGGCTTCAGATTCATACAGTGCACAATAGAGCCAGAAATGCCCCATCCACCCCTCCTTTTATCTCTGCCTTTGCCATCAATAGGTCACTGTCGTTAGCAGCAAAGATCCCCACTTACTGGTGAGAAAGCCAGCCCACCACATTGTATCTTTCAGGTAGCCATAGCCTCCGTCCACTGTAGAAAGAAATGAACACAAAGTTAGAGCTTGGCCATACCTTCTCAGGTACCTCTCCTGTCTCTATCTCTACTCCATCGTCCCTAAGGGTTCCATATATGTTAGTTGTGGTTAGTCCTCTAGGCTTGCTCCTGGGAGAGGTCATCTCTGAGCTGGTATCCCTACTTCATATATGCACCCTGACCCTTCTGAGCCCAGATGTAGATCCAGTTGCTTATTTGACATGCCTTGGATCTCTCACAGGCATCTCAAACTATGTTCTAAATGGAACTCTTGATTTTAAATGCTCTGCATCCACCCACTTAATGAAACTCAGTAACTGGCACCTCCATGTATCTGGTTGCTTAAGCCAGAAACCAGGGGATCACCCTTGCCTCCTCCCACTCCTCCACCTTCTGCAGGCAGTCCACTCTGCTCATTCTGTCTCCAAAAAGTGTCTCACATGTGTCCACTCCACTGCCACCACCCAGCGCCAAGGCACTATCACCTCTGGCCTGGGTTGAGGCAGTAGCCTCCTTTGGTTCTTTTGGCTTCCTCTCGTTCTTTTATAATCCATTCCTTTCATAGCAGACAGAGGTCTTTTAAGAATGTACATCAGATTATGTCATTCCTCAGTTTAGAGCTGGCCAATGCCTTCCAATTACTCTCGGGATAAAGACCAGAATCCTTAACAGATCTGTTCATGGTTTCGACCCTGCTCACCTCTCAAAAGGCATCTCCTGCCACTCTTGTTACTATAATCTGGCCATTCGGGCTTTCTTTCAGCTCTTCAAAAAGAATGAGGTCTTTTCAGCCCCGAGCCTTTTACATGCGTTTTTCCATGTCTGGAATAGTCTCCATAATGATATGTGTCTGAACCTACACTCACTCTAGGGGGCTTGGCTTGAATGTTGCTGCCCCTGAGACCTGCCTCCCTGACCCCTTCTATCATTCCCCCTTGGGGTTCTTTTTCATCACACTCAGTTCTTCTCCTTCATGATGCATCATTTATCATGTGAATTATTCTATTTATTTTCTGGCCTCCCTCCCACTAAATTGGAAGCTCCATGAAGCCAGAAATTGTGTCTGCTTTGTTCACATAGTGGACTCAGCCTGGGCCTAATCCGTCCTCAATAACAGTAGCAATGATGATGATGATGATGATGATGATGATGATGATGGAATAGGTTTTAGACAGTTCTGTGAAAATCTGAAAATTGTATGTCATTTTTTGTGAATTCCAATCTTTTATAAGGTTTTTAGATTTTTAAAGGAGTTAAAATCTCCCATAAAGGTTAAGAGCATCTTACTCTTAAGGGTTGAAATCTCAGAAAATTAAATTGAACATGTCCAAACTTGAACACATCATCTTCTCATAAAACTACTCCTCCTGCATTATTCATCTCAGAAAACAGCGCCCTCATCTCCCCAGTTGCTCAAGTCAGAAAGCTGTGTCATCCTTGACTCGTGTTTTCACCCTCCCCTTGGAGCCAGTCAACACCAAACCCTGTTATGTTCCACCTTCAAAAGCTATCTCTGGACTCCACCGCTTGTCCCCATTCCCACTGCTCTTTCCCAGGCCCAAAGTTCAATTGTCTCTCTCCTCTAATTGGTATCCTGGCCTCCAGTCTTGTCCCCTAATCCATTCTACACTCAGGGATCTTCCCAGATCATAAATTGGACTATGTCACTCCCCTGCCTAAGGCCTTTCAGTCACTTACAACTGCATTCAAACTCTGGAACCCGGTTTGCAAGACCCATCATGACCTGGCCCCAACCCCATTTCTTGCTCCAGCCATCCTGAACTAATATCATGCTCTCTCATGTCTGAGTCTTTGCACATGCTGTTCTTTCTGCCTGGAACAGTATGTCCACCTCTTTCCCCCTTTACCTTGCTACCTCTTCATTATTTAGGTCTCAGCTTCCAGATCGCCTCTACAGAAAAGCTCCCTACCCTCTGCCCAAGCTTGGGCTTGACGCCCCCCTTCAAAATATTGCCTTAGCTTTCTAGTTTCCACACGACAGACCTTAACATGCTATGGAACGACTGCCTATTGACTTGCTTGTCTCTCCCACGATGTGTAGCATAGCATCTGGCACACAGCAGGTGCGCAGTGAATGATAATCAAAGAATGAATTCTTTTACACGTGATTCTATTCCTCAAGAATTGTGTCATGGATATACATCTTATTTTCCAAGCAAGCAAACCTCTGTGGACAGAGACTCAGAAATTCTTCTGTAGCCTATAAGGCTCAATCTGATAGTGAGTGAGGGCGCACTAGGGCCTGATGCTATTTCGGGCAGAAGCATTTGTATTCCCATTTCATGAGAATTTGTGACTTGCCTACGATGACACGATTGGTTAGAAATAAAACCAGCAGACCTGGAGTTTCTCATTCTCGGCCCTGAGACTGTTCCCTATCTTCACCCCAATTAACTGATCATGGCGTTCTCAGGATATCCTGGATTATAAAGGAAGGTCTCCTGTTGGTGGACCGGATCCCAGTGGGGTTGACAATGAGCCTTGTGCCCATCTAGGCAAGACTCTCCAACTGCTGCTGTGGCCCCTGTGAAGGGAGGTTCACAGGGCTGGCTGAGGGCTCAGCTGACCAGCGCCTCACCCCCACCCACTCCCCAGGAGCCTACCAGCCCGGGTGGCCCCTGAGGCCACCAGTCGCAGGAGGCCTTTCTTCTTGAGGATGACGCTGCTGCCGATGAGGAAGCTGGAAAGGAAGGCCAGACCCAGGCCGATGTAGAAGCTGTACTTCTGCATGAACTTCCCCTGCCAGCCGTTAGAGGTGACATTGCTGGGCACTTGGGAGCTGAGGTCACCGACGATCTGGCACAGGACTTGTTGGGAGGAGCAGTATAGGGTAATCAGGGAACCTAGACGGGAAGACCACGGCGAGAGAGTCACGCTGGGGACATTTGCACACTTTAAAAATATTAGAATTGAGCACTGTTTCAGACCCCATGCTTCAGCTCCTGGGGGTGGGGGGCTCCATCCACACACTGGACCCCCACCTAAAAATAACAGTTAACATTCACTGAGTGCTTACTCCAAGCTAGGGCTTTATTTGCATGAACTCATCCACTGTTTACAACCACCTGTCAGATCAGTGCTGCCCTTAAATCCCACTTCAAAGATATGGAAATGGAGGCCATGAGAGGTCAGGTTGCTGTCTGACTCCAGAACTCTAGCACGGAACCTCTCAGCTACACTGATGCCGCACGAGCTCTTAGGTGCCACTGAACCCACCCTCCCACCTTCCATGGGAACCCCTTCCCAGCCTCTGGGCATGCGGCCTCCAACAGCTCAGGATCGCAGAGGCTTCTCCACTTACGCATCCCTAACTCCAGCCATGATGAAGACCGCTGACAGGTAACAGGAGACCATGAGGTTAGAGAGTCCACAGCCCTTTCTAGGCTGGAGGATGATTAAATCTGAGTGTCTGGTTTGTTAGAACTGACCATTCACAGGACTTATTTCTAAGACCTCTGGTGCTCCTGGTCAGTGGCTGGGGCCTATCTTCCGGCCTCAGAGGGATGTGTGTCCCTGTCACCCCATGCAGAATCTGTCTTTACTTTGCTTTCCAAGTCCTACAGTCTGTGAGAATCTGAATCAGCCCTCATGCTCCAGAGCCAGCCCACGATGGTTTCCCTTCTGGCACAAATACCAAGGACAATGGGACAGAGTTGGACGTGAGGGGCCGACCCTCAGTCAGAACAACTAAGGTGCCTGAGTTTAAGGACACAGCACAAGGCAGAACCAGCAATCCTCCAGGGCCAGCACTCACATGGCCCCCTCTCTGGGCCCTCTGTGGGCCTTCCTGCCATGGAAAGGGCACAGTGACCATGTCCAGGGTTTTAGCTGAAGGAACTGGGACCCTGAGAAGTTCAGTAAGCTGCCCAAGGCTGCATTGGTGGTAAGTGGTGAAGCCAGAGTTGGACCCCAAGCCCATCTGACGCCAAAGCTCATGGTCTTAACCACCATACACGCCTCACAAAACAGTGGGCAAAGAGGGCGGGGTTTCATTAGGCCGCTTGAGGGCTATTTTAAAATATGATTTTGTTACCAACATTCAAAAATCAGGAGATTTCCCCCGAAAATTCAGCTTTCAGTTCCCTTACTGGGTATACCTCCCCAATGCAACAAGTGGCACCACCGAGCAGTGTTGACCCCCCGCAACCCACTCACACACACACAGGATATGCTCTCTGTGATGCCCCAGGGTCCATACTCAGCTCCCACGAATCATGTTTGTTACATGCTCAGCCCCTGAGGCACTTGGATTTGTGGCCTCTGGCGGTAGTAGGTCTTTTCTGAATTGTGTATCATAAAGATCCAGCTCCTGTTCCAAAGATGCAAGCCTGGGCCGGGCACCGTTCCTTGGACCAAGCTAGAACTCTAGGCCTGCAATGAAAGGGTCCCAAAGCCCAAGGTCAGGCAGCCCTGGCTGTGGCATACCCAGAGCACAGAGCGGCATCTTGGTGGAACTAAGTAAGTGCAATGCTGACTTTTCTTCCACAGCACAGAAGCCTGGGATGGCAGAGCGAGGCCTCAGAAGGGCAGCCCATCTAACTCTCTTACTTTCAGCTGGGGAAACTGAGGCCCCGAGAAGGGGAAGGATTGGCTCGTGTCACACAAAAACCCAATGGCAGCTGGTTCTGAACCCACCAAGGGACACCTATGTGTCTTTTGCAGTGGGAGATCTCTCTTTCTGACACGGGTGTCACAATCGAGAAAACTCGTTCTGACTGTTCGCTCCTGTTCTTCATCTAGGACAAGATCAAGTCTGGGGAGTTCCCTGAGCTCAGGAAGTGAGCCAGAGCCTGGCAAGGTGTGAGCCAAGGAGGGTGACTGGCAAGGAGAAGGTCACGCCCACTCCGTGCCTGTCCCCTGCCCTCCTGGAGGTGCTTCTCCAGCAGGTGGAACCAAAGGGGGTTTGGCTGTTTTGGGGAGGCCTGAGTACCCAACAGCACAGCACCCTCCATGGAGTCAAGTTCTCCCATAGGGATAAAAAGAAAAAGAGAAGGCTGATGGCTGGAGGAAACCCAGGTCTGAGGAGGATGTTATCTGACAAATGAGTCTTGTGCTGGATGATTCCCGCTTCTCTTCCGGAACATGCTGCGACAGGGGAACATTCTTCCCCAGGGGAAGGCAAGGCTGAAAACGAACCACCTCGTTGGTCAGGAAACCGAAGCCAGCCAACACCCGACAGTCCAGCTTCGAAAGCTTCGTTAGAGGAGAGAAGTTAGAGCAACGGGAAAATCCCACGGGCGGCAATACCCAGAAGAAGCAAGAAAATGGAGTTGAGCACTGTGGTAGGAGTCAGGTTTTCAAATCCAAGAGCCAAATTCTGTATATTCCATTTCCTTAAGCAAGTTATCAGACTTTTCAGAGCCTCAGTTTCTCAGAATACCAACAGAATGGAGACAGAAGGATAACGATGTCTACTTGTCTACAAGAGCTGTGTGAAGGATTAAGTGGGATAAGCATTTCAGGCCGAGTCCACTGCCCCGTTCATGGTAAGAAGTCAGGGGAAAGAAGCGGGGAGTCTTTCCTTATCCTTTTCCCGGTTGTTCTTTGACGCCTTTTTCTAAACAGCCTGTGTGGTTTAGGGGTGCCCCTCTCTGCCTTTGGTGGGCCCCAGGGAGACAGCCAGACCTGGGCAGGTACTAAAATCTGAAGCAACAATATATAAAAAAGAAATCCGGGATCCCCCAACCTTTAAGTCGACCTGCTGCAAACAGTAATGCCCGCCGCAGCCCCCTCCCTTCCTGTTTGGCCCCCTTTCTCCCATTATTGCCCCTCAGCTCCCCAGCTCCCCAAATGGGGGGAAGTCAGCCAGAATCCCGCTCCTTCCCAAGACAGGCCTGAGAACTAGGTGGGGGACAACTCGTGCTGAACCTCCGCCCCCACTCCCCCAAACCTCTGATAGGAGAGGATGCGAAGGAAAGGAGTTACGGGGAAGGAAAGGCTCAGCAGTCCCCCGGTCCCCTCCCTGCCCTCACGCACCGTTCTCGCAGCTGGCATTGCTGGCGGGCGACTCCATGGGGCTCTGGGCACACGCACCGACGCGCGCGTGGACGGCGCCCCCGGCTACCCGGCTCCGGAGCAGGTGACCGAGACTTGGCGTGGCGGGCGTGTGAGAAGCTGCCGGGGTCGGGACCTAGGGGTGGGGAAAATGACGCGCCCCAGAGGGGGAAGGTCGCCGGGGAGGAGTCACTGGCGTCTTGGGCAACTCCAAGGGCCGGGGGCTCAGCGCTCCAGCTGCCCGAAGAGGGGCGCACGCCCTCTCGGGGCGCGGAGGCTGCCCCACTCCCCGCGAGGGAGTCACCGCCCCATGCCCCAGGCAGACGATGAGGAGGTGGGCGGGTCCTAAGCGCCACCCCTCTGCGAGGTCGGGACTGGCACCCAGTTCCCTCCCCAGTGCCAAAGCTGAAGAGCACCAGGATGGTCGGAGAGAAGAGGGCAAATTTCTGGTCAAGGTGGGAACGTGGGGAGTGGAAGAGGCATTGCTACCAGATGGGGCTCTCTCTGGCCAGGGGCCAGGGGCCAGCGGGAGGGGTGTTTGTGCGTGTGTTGGGGGGGGGGCGTGGATCAAGGACCAGGGTTTTTACTTCCTGCCTGCCTCCCTGCCTTGTTCATTCATTCAGCATAGGTCTGATCTGTGCTGGGCACTAGCATACAGCAAGCACGTAGTAGGTGTCCAGTAAATGGTACTATTTGTGGAATGAATGGATGGCAGAAGCTTGGTAAATTGAATGAAAGAAGAAAATGAAGTGATTGGAAGCCAAAATGAGTCCGACTTAGTTCCTGTCCCTTAAGCGCCTGATATATTAATGGGGGGGAAATGGGATCAACTTTCTAGAGATGGGTGCTTTCCAAATTACCAAGAAAAAAAAGGGGGGTCACGGAAAATATGTGTTAACTGTTGTGTAACAGGAGAAACAGAAGACAAGAGAGGTAGAGTGTGTCCCTCTGGCCGGGCCTTTTTAAATTATGTTGCGGATACATGCATTGTGCCAGAGCTGAGCCCAGATCCTGAGAGAGAGACACACACATGTGTTCACACATTCAGTTTTGCACGTTTGTGATTTGTGGAGCTGCTACACTTTTGGATACAGGGCTGGGCCCTCATGCCCAGAGTTAAGGGGCAGTACTGAGTCGCCCCTGTGCTTTGAGACAGGGCTTTTCAGAGTTAGGAGAATTTCATGTTTTAGAGCCGTGGGCTAAGGTGTGTGTATGGGGAGGGGGGCTGGGATCTACTGGAGGGCCTTCCATCCTCTCTCTCCCAGGCTCCCCATTTGTTCTAGAAGGGGAGGGCCTCCCCAGCGCTGCCATCCAGTGCATCCTGGGAGTGCAGACATAAAGGGCCCCATTGAACTGCAGGCTCCTCGCTGCTGTCCTGACAAAGCCCCTTTCTCCCTGAGTCACAATAGCCCTGTCAGGCAGGTATCAGGGCCTGCAGCACTGTCTCCCCAGCAAAGAACAACAGGGTTCACTGTCTGTCATAGGCTCAGTCTCCCAGGGAGGGCGGGCAGCTTTGGAAGAGTCTGACCAGTTGGGACAGATGGGCTCTGTCCTTAGCCATCCAGGCACTGGTGAACCAGCCACATCTCATTTAGCCAATCATTCCAGGATGAGCAGAAAAACAAATATATCAAAACCCCAATTCCTAAAAACTTGGCTTTTCTTAGTGCACGCCTACATGTTTTATGTTATAGAGCCACAGTGTCCCATGTGCATGTTATAGAGCCACAGTGTCCCAGATGCATGTTATAGAGCCACAGTGTCCCAGATGCATGTGGCTATTGAGAACTTGGCTAATCTGAACCGTGCTATACTGTACACGTAAGGCAGGTCCTGTTAACATTTCAGGCTGGATAATTCCTTGTCGTGGGGGCTGTCCTATGTATTTGTAGGATGTCTAGCAGTGTCCCAGGATTCTACCCACTAGATGCTCACACACACCTGCACTACTTATCCCACCTTGTGACAAACAAAACCATCCCAGACAATTGCCACAATCGCCCCAGGTTGAAAACTATCCAGATTTCAAACTTAGTAAGAAAAAAAAAAAGTGTAAAATATCTCATTAACAATTTTTGGTATTGGTGGCATGTTGAAATGTTAATATCTTGGATACACGGGTTAAATAAAATGTTATTAACATTAATTTTCTCTATTTTTTTTTTACTTTTTATAAAGTGACTACCAAGCAATTTAAAATTATATATGTGGCTCACATTATATTTCTATTGGATGGTGTTGTTATAAAGGAAGAAATTGAGGGCCAGAGCAACAGAGAGGCAGAGCCAGGGCCCCCCTCAGGTTTCCAGACTGGCACCCCAGACCCCCTGCACTGCTCCACAAAGCAGCACCGCTGAAAGAAAATCCAAAAGTCAATGCACTATGTATTTCCACTGTGGAAAGAGCCCTGGAGGAGGAACACAGAACAGAGACATGAGTAATACGAATGCTATTTATAGAGGGCTTGCTATACGTTACATGCATGCTCTTTTAATCTTTGCAGCAACCCTGGGAAGCAGGTTCTATTAGTGTCCCCATTTTTCAGATAACCGAAGTGCAGTGAGGATGCTCAGTCCGTAGGTCAAGAAGCCAAGAATCCAATGCAGACACTCTTTGTGATGCTACACAGACTGCCTTGTGGTCCTCGGTCTAATAACATGCCATGAGATTTGGGTAGGTCGCTTCTCCTGGCATTCCCATTCCAGGTAAAAGGGCTGGGCAAGAGGTAGCTTGCAGTCCTTTCCAGCCTTGCAGAACTGGTATTCTGGGCAGGGTGAGAAAGGATAGATGGTTGTCACCATCTTCAGGCTGACCTGGAATCATGGGAATCTGGACAGTCGACATGCAGAGGCCAGCCTACCCTTCTCTAGACGGGTCCCCAGGATGACTGCTGTCTTCATAAAGTGCTTTATCGTCATCAGAAATAATGCTTGGAATGAACACAGCTACACTCAGACTGGCTCTAAGAAGAGCACCATGCCTGGTGATGGAGTCCACACTAACTGTCGCCAATAACAACTGTTAAAACGACACAATATTACTGACTTCAGCCTGCGTGTGCTAAGCACTTTGTGGGTATTGGCTCATGTGGGCATTATGCCTTACTCTGGGTGCCATTTTAAGTCCCATTTTACAGATGAAGAAACCGAGGCTCAGAGAGGTGAAGTGACTTTCCCAAGGCCACACAGAGGGTAAGACAAAACTTCAAGCTGGGATTGTGTGTCCCCACAGCAGCTCTCTTAACCAATGCGGTGGTTTGAGGAGGCCAGAGCCTTTTTCCCAGATCTCTTCCTGGTCCTGCTCTGCATGGTGTGGCTGAGAAGACTGGGGCTGTCCAGAGACCACACTGGGGCGGCCACACAACCTTCTCATCAGTCCTCCTTCTGAGTTAAAGCTGGAAAGGCTCAACTGATCCAACCCCCTTGGTTTGCAGATGGGGAAACTGAGGCACAGATAGGGGCAAGGCCATGCCCACATCACTGTGTGCATCTGTGGCAGATTCAGTACATCCCTCAAAGTCACTTGAATCCTGATCCAGCACTTTTCTCTCCCACCGTGCTTTCTTTCTGGGCAGAAAGGGCTGACTTTAGGGCAAATTATTTTTCTGGCCACTTATTAAGGATGAGCCAGAACACTAAAGATTTCACACACATCATCCCACTTGCTGCTCACCGTTCGGCTCTACTTCTTATTTCAGAGATGAGAAAACTGAGGCTCAAGAAGACTAACTAACTTGTCTGCCATGAAATAGTGGAGCCAGCAGGCTGATCACACTGGGTTTGTGGGATTCTCTCATCAGAATATCTGCCTATGGGTAGAAGGTTTCAAATTCCTATGGAGGACAGAGCTCACCGTGAGCTCACATGTAGAAGCATAGCATCGCTTGGCTTGGGTCAGGAGTGCAGAGAGCCTAATGCACTTAAGGCGTGGAAAAGACTTCAGATCTTATCGAAACCCGGCTATAGTTAAAATAATAATACAAGTAATAATACATGTTGCACAACTTCTATGTTGCAGGTTCTTTACATATATGAACCTCTAAGCCTTACAGCAGTCCCACGAGGCACAGAAAGTTATCCTAGTTTTACAGCTGATGACATGAGACTCTGGGAGGCCTGGTGACTTGTTCAAGGTCAGGCAGATAATAAGTAGCTAAGCTGGGATTTGAGCAGGTCCTCAAAGCTTTTACTGTGGTCTCTTCCTCCTTCCTTGCCACCCTCTGGTCTGAGTCACCGCTCAGGCCAGCAACCTCAGGAGGTGGATCAGTGGACTATAGTGAGCTCATCCATCCCCTGCATTTGTCGGGACCCATAGCATCTGGTACATGAAAACGGGGAGGGCAGAGGCACAATGAACTTTGCGGCCAGGGGGAAGACTGATTGTAAAGTGGGAACAGTCAACTTGAAAATGAGGGACAAACTTAGCCTCTATTTTCCCTTTAGGATTTAAAAAAATATTAACCCATCTTGGACTTTGATATCTAAGAGGTTGGTATGAAAAAGTCAGGACGTGTATGTTCTAGTCTCCATTCTGCCACTAACATATTGGGACCTGAGACAGGTCCTTCCCATCTGGGTCTCAGTTTCCCCAATATGTGCAATGAAAATGAAGAGTGAGATCAGTGGCTTTCAATTTTTTTTTTTTGTTTTGACATGAGAGTTGAAGGCAAAAATCTTTATTCCACGCAGAAAGTTACATGGCGGGACATCACGCAAACCTCCTTAAAGAGAGCTTCTTTCATTGACTCAGGGCAGGAGCCTGAACCTTGTCCCCTTGGCCTCTGTGTCGTGTCCTTGTGGCCCCGCCTCCTTCAACAGCACTGAGACATCCTCCACCCGTGCTAGGACTTGGGAGACTCCGGGTTGATAGTGGGGGGATCCGTGTGGCCTCCTGGGCACACAACATTTGCACTGGCCATTCCTCCCACGGGACGCTCCCACAGCTGGTTCGGGGTTCAGAATGGCCGGAGACTTCGCTACATGGGGGAGGCTCTTGCACGGATGCCTGTGCACTCAGGACCTTCTCAGTTCTCCAGGCCCATTTGTCAGGCCCCCCGGGACACAGGCACATTGTTGCCAAGGGGGCCTGAACACTACTTCGTGGATGATGCGGTCTGAGTCCCAGCGGGGAATTCTCACACCCTCCTGAGTTAGGTATGCCAGCAAT